CTGCTTGCCTCCCCGCCCCCCTCCCAGCCGGTTCCTTCCCCCTCTCCTCCGCCCATGATCAAGTGTGTCCGGTTTTTTGGCGGGGTCTACCTGGCAATCCTACTCCTGACCCAAAGTCCTGCACCCCCACATCCACCAGCCTGAGGCTTACTCAGCAACCCAAACCTCCACCTGACCGCAACACTCTCCAGCCTGGAGCCCTCTCCCCGAGCCAGCGTCCCCTTCTCCACCTCCTCCTGCATGCAAATTCCCTGCCAGAGCTTGCACCTTTCACCCCTTCCCACACCAAAATCCCTCATTCCCACCCCAGAGCCTGCACCTCCTATCTCAACCCAGTGAGAGTGAGTAAGGGCTGGGGACAGCAAATTATGGAGAGGAAGGGAATGTGATCTTGGGTGGAAAAGGTTGGAGACCACTGCTCTAGCTGTAATACTTACTTATCTCATAAGAGAGGAAACTTAGCACCTTTCTACAGTTTTATCAGTGTTTTACTGCAACAAAGCAACACCTCCATGCTACCGGTTTCCCATAGGGCACAAACCATCCCAGTTCTTAGCTACAGGGCTGCAAGGCGTACATGCAATTGCTGAGGGGGATATGCTCCTTTCACAACTCCCCCAGCTGTAATGAGGGGGCACAAATCTACCTACCACATTCTCACTGTAGGCCCCTCTAAAGTTTTCTCATGTCATGTTGCCCTTACTGCAAAGTCTATAAGAGCATATGAACATTTGTTAACCAGGCAACCAAACTATAAAGGGCATCCTTAGGATAAGCTACAAATGAGGGGCTGGATCTTGTAGCCAATACACAACAGGTAAAATTATCCTGTAGGCTTATGTTACTTAGAAGCTTAAGGTTCCATTGCAAAGCAATGGGACTTAATCACTTAAAATGTTTACTCAGTGGGACTACTCACATGAAGAGCTAGCCAGTAAAGTAGAAGAGACTAATGGTTGTAACGGAACAATTTATGAGCTGGGACTCTTTGTCTGTTGAAGCTATTTATGTGCACAGATACTGGATTAAATGCAGCTGATTTACAAATCCCTATGGAATGGTCAGCAAGGAGATAATCTTCAGCCCGCTCCAGAGTTATGCATCCTTTTTAACTGGAGGCATTATTTAGGCTTGGCCCATACTGCTCATAGGTTCACTTAAGGCAGCTCACATCGATCTAACAGTCAGTGTCTACACTACAACATTGCTCCCGTCAATATAAGTCGCCCACTACTTTGACCTAGTAACTAAGGATCAGATTTTTTCCACAGATATTATTTAGTAATAGCAATGGACAGGTCATACTCAATTCATGGAAGCCCATGACCGGTCCCTGACATTTACTAAAAATATCCATCACAAAATGGGGAGACGCTAGACACCTGTGAGGGCCTGGCTTGGAGCTGCAGCGTGGCCCCCATCTGCAGCGGCCAGGAGCTGGGTGGGGGTTAAAGACAGTGAATGGCTAGCCAACTACAAAAGCAGTTTCTCCTCTCTCGGTATTTACATCTCCACATGAGCTGCTAGAAGTGGGCCTCATCCTCCCTGACTGAATTGACATCTTTATCTCTAACCTTACTCTTGATTGGAACTTTTTTCTTATGCCTGTATATTTATACCTGCCTCTGGAACTTCCACCACATGCATCTGACAAAGTGGGTCTTTGCCCACGAAAGCTTATGCTCCAATAAATCGGTTAGTCTAGGTGCCACAGGACTTCTTGCTGTTCTTGCAGATTCAGACTAACACTGCTACTCCTCTGATACTGTGATGTGAGTAATTTATTTCACAAGTGACAATCTGATATAGTTAAAAGAATCAAGGTATCATAAAACCTTTCAATAGTTTAAGGGAGGGGAGGAATCTGTTCTCTGTGCTTGTAAATGGATTCAGTGGAGGAAATAAAACAATTCTCCCTGACTGTTACACACTGAATCGTGGCATACCACTTAAAGCTCTAACTAGTATATCCATAAACTAAACCACTTTAATAGCCCCTATTAATGCAGAAGCTTTAAAAGCAAACTGCTCTCAGCTCTTTCTTGTAGGATTTTAAAAGAGTTGCTGGAGCATGTTGAAAAGCCCTAATGGCATTGACTTTGAAAAGCTGTTTGGAACTGGGTTCAAACAACATCTGTTCCTACATGAAAAAAGCTAAAATGCAACGACCTCCAGTTAACAGACACGCACACATGGTCTACTCTTCTCCATCTGCACATGGAAGTATTATTAAAGTTAATGGGAGCCACATACACTGATTAAGGAGACTATGCCCTTAAGAACGATTTCCCAAAGCACATATACCAACCTGAATAGGAGTTAACATGCACAATTACGGGCATTATTAAAAACGCTAAGGAATGGAGAAAGCTGCTAAAGAAAAATGGCACATCCGAGAGTTTTATTTTCGGTTTTGTTTCTCTGTACAATTGCTAGAGACTTGCAAATCCATGGATAATATTCACTTTAGATCTGCGGGTATCCACATCCATGGATGTCAATGTTGATATTCGCAGCTCATTTTTGTGACTATGGATGTGGATACAGACATACATATTGTATCTGGAACCCTGAAAATGTGTGGATATCCGCTTTATATCCATGGATATCTGCACCTACAGAGGTCAATGCAGAAATCCGCAGCTCATTTTTGCAGATATAGATGCAGATACAAAATTTTCATATCAGTGCAAGGCTCTAACAATAGCTCTCTACCAGCTGGGAAAAGCAACATGTGAAGCCCTCCTGTGCATTGCAGATATGGGGTTAATATGGGATGTCTCTGTCTTACATCCAAACCGCTCCTTGTACAACACTGGACATAGTTCTCTCTCTCCTTAAAGAAGGTGGCTAAAGCAAAGGGGTTCTATTCTCCCATGGACAAAA